AAACTAAGATGAAAATGTAGCAGAATGATGGGAAGAGAAGCATAGTGGCAGCAGTGTTAGGGCGAGGGCATGTATGGCTGCCAGTGGAACTGGGTCAGTAGTGTTTGTTAATGATGTGACTGCAGATGCAAGCAGCAGGATGAACTGTGAAGTGCACAGGGCTGTACTTTCTGCTCAGATTCAGTCATATGCTGCAGAACTGGTCACACAGTGCTTCATAGTGCAAATAATGACCCAAAGCAAACTGCAAAAGCAACTCAAGAGATTCTTGAAGCAAATAAATATGATTTTCTTCAAGTCAGTCACCTAATCTCAACTCAGCAGAGCAGATTTTTGGCTACTGAAGGCAGAGACCCACAAAAAAGCAGCGGCTGCATTAAAGGTCTAACAAAGCATCCCAAGTGAGGAAACGGCATTTTCTGACGTCCATAAGCTCTACACTTCAGCCTTCTAGACTTGTGTTCGGTTAATTTGGAGCATCTGAAAACAGGAGACTGGTTATAAAAATGTCTGTAATTCCTGAACATTGAATGCAACACTTTCTTTAATTAAAGCTGGTTTAAGATCTGCTGTAATGGTGTGCAGAGGCAAAGCCTGAACATGTGACTTCTTTTATTTTAATTACTCAGATCACTGTTATTGTAAAATGTTCCATGTGTATTGCTGTGACCAGTGTTGCAGAAAATCTACTTCTGCTTTATTCATGTGATTACAAACATTGCTGATCCTAGCAAAACTCTTTCTGCTACTTTTTAAGTACCACGAAGGCGGTTTGATATTTGTTGTTTATGTCTGTTTGTGTACAGATTTTGTCACTGGGAAAACATCACAGCCGCACAAGACAGAGTTATAAAATTTTAGGTGTTTAGTTGAGATTGAAACAAAAGCAAACAAAAGTGGAGTTCAGAGGTGGGTCTTGTTCAGTCTGTGTGATCTAATCTGACGAGGGCCTCTGGTCAAATCTGACCTGATTATTTAATGATGGTTTGGTAGAAGTGACGCTCCATGTACTGCAAACTGGTTATGGAAGCTGAGGATTGGATTGCCCTCCACACTGATCACCGCTCAATCCAATAAGCAGCAAAACCCTGCGGACCAATGTAGCCTTTTCAGGTCAAGGCCCCGTGGGCTAAAGGAGTCAGTTTAGGTGGTCCTGATTAGGATACTTCCTGGACGTCACCTAAAAGAGGTGTTTCAACCATGTCCTACCAAGAGAAGGCTGCCAGGAGACTAGCTGGAGAGATTATACCTCTGGGCTCTCTTGAGAAACACTCAGTCCCTCACCGCCCCAGAGTCCCTGTGACCCAAACTCAGATAACGAGCAGAGGATAGTTGGATTCTTATAGATTCAGCCATAAGTTTAATTATTAACTATCTGGAAACTCATCGCTGCAATAGAAACCCAATTTTACCCCAGCTTATCCTTGTTGAACAACAAACTAGATGATTTTTACAATAAAATCACATCTGACTCGATAGTAAAGAATTCTCAGACCAAGGCCGTCTCACGGTTATTCCTCTGATGCACCATCAGTCCACGTGTACTAAAGGCAGTAAGACTTTGACCTTATTTGACCAACTGCCTAATAACTAAATCAATCCCCTCGACAAACAATAACACTACAAAGGGCCTGACACCTCACCTGTCATTTGATGCATAAAAAGACCATAAACTTGTTGAAAAGCGTCACCATAGCAGCAGCGGGGACAGCTTCACATCATGCACTAAACACACTTTCCGTGAGAATGCACATCGATCTGAAACACTCAGGACCTCCTGCAGGTTAAAACACAATGTATTTCAACAAATATTACAAAAGTGCAGCTTGTGATTGAACTGATGGATCAGTAGTGCTTTACACAAATTCCCAGTGCCAGCGACTGAAATGATATTGTTTACAGCGCTGGTGTTTTTCCTTAAGGAAATATCCTGCCGTCCAAGTCTGCTTTCATTGAGATGCCAGCCACGCGTGTGCCTATGACACAATCACAATGAAAAGTCTGTCCACAGACATATAAACACCCGTCGGAGTACTTTGAGGTGGTTGCTTCTAATGAATGCGTCTCCACCTTGTTTTTCCCCCTCAGTGATCTCACACACATGCGCGCACACACACAGGCGGATAGTGTTACATTATGAAAGAAGAACCAGCTATGCTATCACATCAGATAACAATACAAATGATTATCCATTGTGTGTGGTTTACTGGCTGGCTCCTGAGTGCGCTTTAAATCGTAAAGACGTGACGTCTCTGTTCCCACGCTGAATGAACATTTTTGGAGTTGAGTGCTGGTCCAAACACAAACTCATGTTATTTCTGTTTATCCCTGCTTGTATTGCTTATGATTACATGCATGAATACTTACCTTTTAAGTCCAAATCACTGCTATAACTGGGCTCCCTGTTTAGGAGTTAGGCTGAGCTGACTGACTCGCTCTGATGTTAGCCAGGTCACTGTGGCATGTAAGCATCTCGCTTCTTTCACTTTTGATATTCAGCTCCTGTGAAATTGCAGGCTTGCAAAGCCCCGTAGTGTCAACAGAGAAACAGGCAGTGATCCGTGTCGGGTTTCACAGCTGGTATCAACATGTCTGTCCCCTGTACGCACAGAGATTAGTGCTCATTTAAAGGAAGGGAGGCTGTAGTTGATGTGCTTTTTATAGCTTCTGTTTGTGTGAAGAGAAGTGACAGATTCAGGTGATAAACAGAAACTCTAGGTGTCAAAGCTGCACAGCGACCGTGTGTGTTGGTCACCCGCTCCTCCGTGCGTCTCTCCCAGGTTGGTTTTGGCCTGGAGCACGTGTCCAGGGAGCAGATCCAGGAGGTGGAGGAGGACCTGGACGAGCTGTACGACAGCCTGGAGATGTACAACCCGAGCGACAGCGGGCCGGAGCTGGACGAGACCGACAGCATCCTGAGCACGCCCAAACCTAAGCTGAGGTACGAGCACTGGCACAGACGCGACATTAATATTCATCCCCACACTCCCGCTTCACCCGCACAGACACTGACGAGCACACAGAGAGGACTCTCATTAACAATTCAGAGCCCCCTCTGTTGGGCGAAGCTGCTCATTACAGCCACAGATTAAAAGCTTGGCATGAGCCAAAACTGGGTCAGTTTTAACTTTGATCAGAACTTTTGAATAATCATTATTTTGCTCAAAAATTCTTCTTTGCATACTTAAACGACACAGAATCGCTGCCCAGTCTGAGTCATTATTTTCAATAACATCAGAAAGCCTCAGAGTGACCCAGAACCCAGAAGTCTTACCGCTGTTACTTGACTTTCTTCTGTTCTGCTCTTTCTTTCTGTCTATCATTAAAAAATAAATGTGTGTTATGTAAGTATCTGAATAAAAAGTTAACGTGTGTGTGTGTGTGTGTGTGTGTGTTTGCTCAGGCCGTTCTTTGAGGGAATGTCTCAGTCGAGCTCTCAGACGGAGATCGGCAGCCTGAACAGCAAAGGCAGTTTGGGCAGAGACACGTTCAGCCCGGTGAGTAACTCACTGAAACGCCTCACCTGTTAGAGCGCAGTGAACTCTTCACGAAGGATATCTGACTTTACAACCGCAAAGCTTTCAAACCTGTGTCCAAATGCAGCGCTCGCCTCGTTGGTGTAAAGTGAGACCTGTGTCCGTCTCAGCAAAAACTCAAGAGTATTTGTATTTTCTCTACATTGACGTTACCTTGTGGGAAAAAAAACTTGATACACAATTTAATTTAGTAGTGTTGGATATACGGTACTGTGCACAAGTCTTGAGCCATCCCTTTGTAGGCTCTACTACTATTGTTACAACTAAAACACGTAATTTGCTGAAAACGTGGCATATCTCAGCACGCTGTGCAGTCTTAAATATGCTTCATTCATATTTCAATAAATTGCTGCACATTCCTCATTTTATTAGCCAAACATAAAGAACGTAGGGTTGGCTCAAGATTTCTTGTGAATACTATAACTTCTTCTATTTCTTGGGCCCTTAAGAAGTCATAGTAAAAGTACACGAGAAGCTGAGCGATACGGCATTAACATAGTGGCAGGATAGCAAAACAATAAAGCTGTAGTAAAACAGTGTGACTAAGTAGCACATAGTACCATAAAGTACGTGAAGAATGCAGCATGAAATGAAGCAAGAAGCATGAAAAACAGCATGCGACTCTGCATTGATGTGCTAAATATCCAGAATCTAAAGCCGGTGACAGTCAGCACGGCGGGGAGCACAGTGGAAATGTGAAATTTGAAAAATGTTTCACGCTAGCATTTCCTTAATGGAGCAGAAATTCAATAAGTCTTTGACGGTGACCATCTGCTGAATAAAAAGTGTTTAGTCTCTCAGTTTGAATGGATGGCACTGGATGTGCTTCAGGCAGCTCCAGTTCCTCCCTTCATAATGAAATAAGCTTTTAGGTTCTGACTGCTGTTGGGACACTTTCTCAAATATGTGTTTGGAAGATGAAGGAGCTGCTTTCACTTCAGTAAGTAGGTCCTATCTAATTATTTGTGTAGAATGCTTCGTCTGACCTAAAACGGCAGACGAAAACCAACATCTTCTGGGCGTAACTGCTGTTGAGTTTTCTCCCTGAAGCCGAGAGCCGAGAGCTCTGCTCCTTCTTGTTTACCAAATCTCGAGGCTCATTAAGCCCGTAGACTTGACTGCCTCTCCCTTCTGTTCCCAGCAGGGGGAGCAGCCTCTTCTGGAGAAGATGAAACCTTCCCGAAGCCGCAACCTGGATGAGATCCCGTCTGAGACCGACACGCTGGTACGACTTTCCTCGTGTGTTTTTAAATGAGTGTCAGTGTGTCAAAGAGGGAGAGTTAATGTTGTGCTGGGATCTTTGTCGGTATCACTCTGAGGCGGATTCGCCGCCATCTGTGCTGCAAGCGAGACAGATTGAGAGAGCAGAAGAAACACAAAAAAGTGGGTGCCAGTATCTCCTTTCTTTGACACTGACAGCCTGTCTGTGGACTGTGTGTGTCTGTTTGTGTGTAGGAGCTAACAGACCAGGAGCTGTTCGCTGAAGTCGGCCCGTGCATCATGGTGTCCGTGGCAGAAAAACCCCGTACACCCATTAAGAGCAGCAAAGGTGAAGCACAGCCGATGGCATCGCCGAGGTAAGTCACCCAAGGCTTAGTCCCAGATACATTTGTTTAGCTGTTTTAATCTGTGCGTTGGCCTCTTTACTAATCAGCTCAGTTTTAGCTTGAGTAATGACCCCTGCCATCTTGTTTTTTTAGAACCAGAATAAATATATGTTTGGACAGAAAGGTGAAAGGTTAAGGGATCAGCAGAGTTAGTGCCAGATTGGATCCCCCAAGTCTGCCAGGAGGGCATTTAGTTTACAAAAAATGTAATGTACGCTAAAGACAATCCTATATCATTATAACTGTACACTGGATCTGCTACAAATTCAGGCATTAACCCCTTCTTTTAATGAACATGCTTACAAACCCTGTGGTTGGTAAATTCTGAGGGCAACTCAGGATCTCTAAGTAAAGCTTATAAAATGAAAGGAAAAATGAGACCTCAGAGGCGACTATGCTGAAAAATCCCGAACTTCTTATTTCTTGAGTTTGACTTTTTTCCCCACCAGGTTGGATGGAGGCCATACACCAAGGCAGAAGCGCATTAGCACTCCGATGAAGGAGAGACAGCTGTCCAAACCTCTCAGTGAGCGGACCAACAGCTCCGACTCTGAGAGGTCCCCGGAGCTGGGACACAGCACGCCGGTACGACACTGAACGGTTATAAAATCTCATTTCGCTTTAGCTCTTTCCAGGATTTCAGCATCATCGTTTCAACCGTGTATACAAAAATAAACCTGCGTATTGTGGTTGTTTCCCACAGAGGAATTAACATAAGACCAAAAAAAAAAATCTTCCTTTGTTCTCCGTCTGCTTATGACCCACGCGTTTTTAAAAAAATAAAACACATGAATTCTGATAATGTACGACCGGCCTGGAGCTCAGAAATGAATTATGTATGTGGTGATGAGTCATCTGAAGAGCAAATGTGTCGCTGTGGGGAGATTTATGTACTCTGTGTGTGTGTGTGTGTGTGTAGGTTCTGAGGAAAGCAGTGTACGATCAGCTTAACCAGATTTTGTTGTCGGACTCGGCGCTCCCAGAGAGCCTCATTTTGGTCAACAGCACAGACTGGCAGGGGCAGGTAAGGCCTGCAGCTTTCCGTAATAACTTTGGGTGGATTTGGTTCGTTCTTTTTCTTTTTTATTCCTATTTCTTACCTTTTTTTTTTTTTTTGACTGCACATCTCCTCTTTCATGTATTGCAGTATGTTGCAGAGCAGCTCCAGGTACAGAGACACCCGGTGGTCTGCACGTGCTCAGCAGCTGAAATACAGGCGGTGCTGTCTGCCGTGCTCACTCGCATCCAGAAGTTGTGAGTTTTTCTGATCGAATCTAACACACACACACACACACACACACACACACACACACACACACACACACACACACACACACACACACACAGCGAGCTAGACTCATTGGTGTGCAGAGTGACTCATCTGTTTAGTCTTTCTTCTTGCTCTGAGCCTTATTTTTCTGACTTCTGTTCTTCCTTTGACCCTTATATATTTTGCTCCTTCTGTTCTCCTCCTCCTTTTTTTGCCCCTGTGACTCACTTTGCTTTTTAAAAGCAACAAAAACTTTATGTCTCCCATATCTGCGTCCATCACGTCGGCTTGTCCCTCTGCTTATCACTCTCTCCCACACATGTGGGAATTCTTCTGGTTTGTGTTTGCACTGTTGGCATGAAATTTGCCTGAACATGAAGGAAATGTCATCAGAGCAATAGTTAGAAATATAAAATGATTATTTTGCCTTAAATAATCTGAGTTAGATTGTAGTCTGGGAATAAAAGGGGCTTCATGTTTCTTTTTCTAATGCAGGAGCTGGGACTGAAGTCAAACCCATTACAGTACAGCCACAATAACAGGTTTTATTTAGCTTGCTAGCCATCAGTAACAGTACCTAGGGTGCAACGCAGTGCCTGTATTTCTGCTGTTAAAAACACCTCTGCAGCACATTCATGGATAGAGCCTGGTCAGTGATTATTTAGCAAGTCATGAATACACATCAGTAATAGTACAGAGGACCAGTTCCACACTCTTAGTGCAGTTTACGCTCTGAGCTGCCATCTTGGATTGTGAAGTTGGAGTTAGATTGGCTTCTCCATCTTTCCGAGTGGGACAGTGTATCTTGAGAGGGTGTTCTGGCTGAAAATTCTGAGTAGGAACTCTGGATTTCTGACTTCCCACTTCAAATGGAATTCAGTATAAAAAATGAAGGGCAATCCACACAGGAAACGTCCTTAAAACTAGAGCTTTCATACACCTGTGTGTACTATGTCCTTTAAAAACGCCCACAGTCTGGGTTCCTGAGCACTGAATGAATTCTCACTAGTTTGATGTGCTTCATCTCAGATGTGCACCAAGGCACATCTGTAGGACACACTGTAATAAGAAATCTAT